TATATATATATATATATATATATATATATATATATATATATATATATATATTGCACATATGGTATTGATTTAATCTCCTCCTCATACTTACACTCTCTCTAAATTCTGTTTTTATTTCCGGAGTTGTTTTTTTTTTCTGTTTTCTTTTTTTGAATTTGTAGGTCTGATGAATTGGATCGTATTTTACGATTCAATGGAATAAATTATGACCATGGAATATTAGTGTTTAAGACTTTTTTATTATATCCTTACTCTGAACTGGACATTGAGTTCTACCTGGATTCTTCCTCTTGGAATTTTTTTTTCCTAAAATATACATATATGGGTATTTATATTTATATATTTTGCATATGTATGTATATTTTTCACTAATATATATATATATATATATATATATATATATATATATATATATATATAAAAAATATACTCATAAGGTGTATTATATTTATGGGATAAAGTGTTCAATATCAGAGATAGAGCGTGTGTAAATATAAAAGTGAACATTGCAGTCAACACTTGGAGGCGACAGGCTGTTTCATGCTAGACGCAATCATCAGGCTATATATATATATATAGACGAGGATCGTTCAAAAAGTTCTATGGCTCACCCAGAAGGAGTTGGAGAAACAAGACAGTTTTTCAATACAGTCCCGCTTGACATCAATGCACTTGGTCCAATGATGCTTAAGCATTGCAATCCCATCACGCAAGAGGGTGGCGTCATAGTCCTCCAAAAACTCCTCCACAGTACATATGATCTCATCATTATCTCCAAAATGGCGACCACGCAGGTGGAATTTGAATTTAGGCAACAGAAAAAAGTTTGATGAAGCTAAGTCTGGTGAGTAAGACGAATGGGATAGCAATTCAAAGCCATAGTTGGCTGCTTTAACTACTGCAACCTGAGAAGTGTGAACGTTCGTGTTATTCTGGTGCAAGAACACGCTCCCCATCAGCTTAATTTTTCGTTTCGACTTGATTGCTTCATTCACTTTCATAATTCTGTCCATTATTAGTTTGTTTGTTTTTTTTACCCCTTTTCTAGATTATGTATCATGTTTAATCATTCGGAATCACAAAATAGAGAAGCCATAACGTTGCTAAGAAATGCTGCCTGCTTGAACTTCTTCGGCGGTGGCGAACCATTGTTTGCTTTGAATATTTGATTCGAGTTCGAAGTGGTGAACACAAGTTTCATCTTGAGTTCCTAATTCTGAAGCCGGAAATTCTCAAGCTCAGCCTGAAAGTGAGTCAGAAATGTTCTGGAAATGTCAACTCTTTTCAGCTTCTGCTCTGGTGTCAGCCTTCTTGAAACCCATTATTCAGACAGCTTGCTCATCCCGAGATCTCACTTGAAACAGTATGGTTCGAACCAGAACTAAAGCTTATGGACTTAGCCATCTGCTATACAGTAAGACGTCTATCATCATTAAAAAAAATACGGTGAATGGCATCAACTTGTTCATCAGTGGTTGAGATTTTTGGATGACTTGACCGAGGGTCATCTTCTGTGCTCTCCTTATTCCGCTTGAATTCCGCAGCCCACTTCGAAGGCCAATCCTTCGCAAGTTTCTCTACCATGTCCTCACGGATTTTCTTGGGTGTCATACTTTTCTTTTGCAGATACTTTATAACTGCTTGGGCTTCTGTTTTATCCATTTTTAGATTTGATGCATGGCCCTTACCTTTGTATGGGCCTCACCTGCACAGAAATTAAGACAAAAATCTGAATTATTTTTTTCTAGTTTTATAAGTGTAATGTGTTGCCACAACAAAAATGTTCAGCTATGCCTCTTCTTTCTGGGTGAGGCTTAGAACGTTTTGAACGGCTTTGGTATGATAGAGAAAAGAACAAATAGGAAACGTTTATAAATTTAACATGTTTTGCTTTTATCTAAGCTTCATCAGAATTTTGGGGACATTAGAATGGTATTGGAATTCTTTTCCAAGATATTCCAATGAAGCTTAAATAAAAGCGAAAAGCGTAAAATTTATAAACGTTACTTATTTTTACCATATCCTATCCTTCTTTCCAATTCTAATGCATATTTGATCTCAATATATATATATATATATATATATATATATATATATATATATATATGTGTGTGTGTGTGTGTGTGTGTGTGTGTGTGTATGTATGTATAAGTGCGCAGGTATGCAGAAAATAGAAAAGAACATGTTGGGTGCATAATCCGGAGTTCCTGAGTATTTTTGTTTTTAATTTTAAGAAGACAGTGCTCCATACAGAAGTAGAGCTTATATTATAATATTTTTATTGTTTATTTTTAAACAAAAAAATATTATATTATATATATATATGTATGTGTGTGTGTGTGTGTGTGTGTGTGTGTGTGTGTGTGTGTGTGTGTGTGTGTGTGTGTGTGCATGTAAAAGTTGACACTGAAGTCAACAACGATCAGCTAGAGTTTCATACCGTAAAAGTTATTGTTTAGTGGATACTTCTATTTGAAATAAACACACCACTTTTCTTTTT